AAATATTTAGTTTCACTTGACCTGAAAAAGATTACCCACCCCTGAGCCCTGACATGTACCTATAAGAATTATAATATTAATTTAAACTTACGCGATAGTCAATTTGTAAATTCCAATGAGAATCAACAATAAATATATGAAGACACCGTACGTCCAAAATAGTATGTGTCTAACGGTCTTACATAAATTAAATACTGTTCCGAATTCTTGGTTTTCAGTCGTTCTTTCTAAGTGCTTGAATAAATACAATTAAATGTATTTAATAAAACAAATGTTACGGACAAACCTAATAATTCATATGTAGAAAGCCAGGTAGACAACACTTAACTAAAAATAAAATACTATTGGTAATATCGTAATATTTTACTCACTTCGTCGTACAAGAACAAACCGTTCAATACATTAATAATAAACAAATATATCAACAAATTGAGTAATATAAGAAAACCAAGATCTATATTTAAAATGAAAAAAAAATCCACTTAGTATAATGGTATTTCTCATGAAATGGATATCCATTTCAAGAAGTACAATCATATCGTGTAGGTAACTCAAATTTAATTCATGAAATGAATACATATTTGATATTTTATCCGTTCCATGAAATTGAAACTCTTATTTTACATTTTGTCTAATATTTTTAGTTAATTACATCAATGGGTAACTTTTGGGGAAATCGAAATAATAACATTGACACGATTACACGAATCTAATATGTTTAAATTGTAGTCATGCAAGCTTCTGTTTTATGTAACAGTCATTGATATAACACTAATAATATTTGTAATAACAAGTATTAACACTTATAACATAATAATAAATAATATAAATATAAATTATTATAATAAGAGTAATAATAAACATATTTAGTAGGTAGATTAAAAATTTAACTTAATTTAAACTGGTGGCATTTTTTCGAAACAAATCAGTGTTTAATATAAAACATGTTATATGAATGGTTTCAATTTAAAAATATTAGATTCGTATAATCGTGTCAATATAATTATTTCGATTTCTCGAAAAATTACCTATTGATGTAATTAATTAAAAATATTACACAAAGCGTAAAATAAGAGTTTCCATTTCATGAAATGGATAAAATATAATATGTCCATTTCATGAACATAAATTTTACTTACGCAATATTATCATAGTACATGAAATGGATATCCATTTCATGAAAAATACGATTAAGTACACTAAGTGGATGCGACATATATACAGCATATTATTAATAATATACTAGGTATTTTTAAATGAATGTATGATATTACCTCTTAAATCACTCGGCCATGGATCAGTAAACATAATCCAAAAGAAAAACATAATACAATGACACTATAATATATAAAATATAAAAAATGTAAATTAATTATGAGGGGCCGTAAAATATAACAATTTAAAACTTTTTATAATAGGGCTTTGCCCCGAAAGATTTATTCGGGTTTCGGGTTTTGGGTGCTACATGGTACAATTTGAAACAAACGTTTGGGTGTTAATAACCGTTATTATTCGGGTTATTATCGGTTAATACGGTCTTTAGTAAATAGTAACTCAATTTTAGTAAAACCATAATCTTTCATAGTTATTTTTATGATATATTTTTTAAATTTTTAATTGCTTAGCGAAGTTCCAAATATTGCTATTATTAAACAAATAATCAACTGAGAATTCACACTTACTACATAAAATATAATATAAAAAATGATAAATAACATGAAGATTGTAAAATAAAAAGTTATTTGGATTTCGGTTTGACCGGAATGTTTTATTCGGGTTTTGGTTAATTCGGGTGTTTTGAAAATAAAATCGTTTGGGTTATATGTGTTTGATTTTTAAGGGTTTATAAGAATGTCAAGAATGTTGTAACGTCTCACACGATGGCTTACCCAGATTCGGCGTGGAGCGTACGTTGACGAAAAACTTTAGTGGGAAGGTCGCCAACCCACAGCCGAGATTCGGAAATCGGAGCGTGTGGGATTTGTAACAGAAAAACGTAAATAGGAAAAAACAATAAGAACATACAATTGATGGTTGAGTTAAAAGGTATATTAATTTTAATGATCTTACGGAAAATGAATAATTAATTTATGGCCAAGAAAAGCCCACACTGGCATAAAAACTTGACCGCAACAAAAAGGGTCACCTTAGAAAAAAACAACAAATACATAATAATAATAATAAAAATAATATTAGTACACTATAGTGTGTATTATACACAGAAAAGAAACGAAACGAAATGAAATACCGGCCAAGGTATAGTATATGATTATAATAATAATAAGAATGGTATTACCAAATCGTTATATTGTGTGACTGGGCGTCGTCCACAGGACGTCCGCGGTAGAATAGTACCTACTCACACGTCATGTTGTCCGGCAGAGAGGCACAATGAAAGTAACGGGCGTCGGACGCGTTACATATCACACGCAGAAAAACATATAATATTCTACGATAATTGGGTAAAAACTGATTATTGGCCGGTATTTGATTATAACGTAGTGTCGGCCGGTTAACTCGACCACGGGTACTAGGCAGCGGTGATAGTGTGTGTGTACGTCGATTATCGTAATATGCATATCGCCTTTGTTTTGGATGTGGGCAGAGATGCCCGCGGGACGGAGAGCGCTATCGTATAGTATTTATCATTATTATCGTTGTTCATTTTCGACCGTTACAATGTTTTTACGGGTTCTGTTTAATTTGGGTGCAAGACACTGGTTCATATAATATATCTTGCAGAAAACATGAAATATAGTAAATATACCAATGTAAAAACAATGATAATGTTTTGACAATTAATAGGCTAATCTCTCGAATATTTAAGCTAACAACACAGAATTTGTTCTGCTGAACGTAAATTCATTTTTCCTCTCAGATAGAGAAAACTAGATGGTGTACTGACATAAAATAATATCATTAATATTAATATTAAATTATTTTTAAAGTGCAAGAAAACGTACCAATGTAACTATTGAATTAATGCGAATCTTCTTTTTTATATTAATCAACGTACTTGATTTGCTTGGAATTAAATCATAATAGCCCATTTTAATGTATTTTATTGTACTTTAATAAAAACGAATCTTTGTAAATTGTTATTAAAAAAAAGTGTACCCACCCATCTATTTAGTGTGTTTCTATGGAAACTTCTATGTATACAATATACATAAATGAGGAACAAAATAATTCCATCTAATTATCGATAAGTCTTTGTGCCAAGTTATGAGATGAAACACGCTTTAAGTAGGTATTATGCAAAAAAAATTGTAATTAATAAACACGGTTTCCTACATATAAGTAAGAAGTTATTATGACTGACTGAAGTTTAAAAGTTTAAAGTTAGGTTGTATTTTTCAATCAAAACCGTGTATTTTCTAAAAATTATTTTTTAATATTTATTTTTTATTTGTATATTTAAACAGGGGTACCCATAGGTACACACTTGTTGGCAGGAGGGACAGCGGTACTGTAACTACATAATGTACAAATAAATAAACAAATTTAATAATAGAATACAATGTTATAACTTAATGTTAAAATTAAAAAAAAATAAAAAAATTCTAATAGTTTTCGAAAGTTTTGGGAATAAGAAAAGAAAAATTAAGGAAAAACAGGAATTTTTACAAAAAATTATTTTTTAACTTTCATTTTATTTGTTGAATAAAAAAGTTTGAAAATTTAATAGAAGGCTTTTAATATATTTTTACAATTACATTTGAAAAACATTAAAAATCCATTGTCATAACTTTTTTTTATTAGCATTTAAAGTTGAATTTTAACAAAAGGGGTAAAAATCACGAAAATGGGCGAATTATTTTAAGTTAGAAATTCATAAAATCTAAGATTTTAAAATGTTATACAAGATTTCTGATAAGGTTAACTGCCTTTATCAAAAAAAAAACAAAAAAAAAGGACCAAGCAAATCAAATTAAATTTTTATGAGAGTTTATAAGTTCAAATTTTTACAACATTTCATATTCACTCGATTTCTCCTATTTTGTTGTAATTCAAAAACCAATAACCGTATAGACACTTGAGATTTATATCTTATGTTTATTTAATCAATGTCTATACAGTGGTGGATTTAGGTGGTAGGCTTAATATTCTATAGACTACAGGGGTTTTTTTTGGGGGACGGCTTTTTTTTAGAATTAAGGGTTATTAGGTATATATATTTTAATATATTTTTTTTTATATTCATAATATAAACAATAATAAAAATAATTCTAAAATGTTATATTATAATATGATGGTCGATGGATAGGCAGATAGTAGTTTAAAAGGTATAATAAAGTACCTACTTAACTATTCATTATCGTCTTTAACCATAAAGCGGAAACGCTTTTAAAAATAGTACAACAATTTTGTAATTGTGGATCTTTTTTCTAACTTTTTTTCGTTTAAATTTGGTTTCCATCCCATTATACATTATGCAAATATAATCTTATATAGTATTGAAGGTAGTCGGCACTAGTCACCAGTGGTCGGGGGTAGCCCGCTAATTGTAGCGACGCTACAGTACCACGCTACTTTATTTGTAGCGATTGACGTAGCGTCGCTACATTATGCCCTAGATCAGTGGTGGCCAAACTACGGCCCGCGGGCCAACTCCGGCCCGCCATCATTTAATATCTGGCCAGCGAAAGAAGTACCTATAATATTTTACATTTACGTAAAAAAAAAATTAAATATATACAGTATACATTCTTCATATTTAATCCCGTATCGGCGTATCGCCATATCGTAGCGTTTTTGTTGTTACAATGTAATTTAATAATATAAATAGCATTACCGTATCTTATCTTATTTTCATACGATCACCATGGCTGTAGAAATCTTTATTTCTAAATCAAATTGAAGAATTAAATTTCTCCCATTTTGAATGTTGTGCTACTTTAAAAACAGAAGATTGTGGTATATTTCCAAAACAAAGGTGCATCAAAATTATTAACACACTTATTCGTGAATTTGAAAATCGTTTTAACTTCGAACTAAAGAACCAATTATAAATCTATTTAAAAATCCATTTAATATAAATCCGGAAATTGTCGAAGCTTCTTTACAATTAGAAATTATAGAACTCCAATCTAATAATTCTTTAAAAACAACATTTAATAATTTGACAAGCTCTCAAAATCTTGTTCAGTTTTATTCAAATTTATCTGAAGAAGATTTTCCAAATGTTCGGAAGTTTGCTGCTAAGATGTCTTGTATATTTGGTTCAACATATATTTGTGAGCAAGTATTTTCAACGATGAAAATTAACAAAAGTAAAACTCGATCTCGCATCACAAATGAACATCTACACGCCGTTCTCCGGGTAAATTCTACCAAATTAGAACCTAATATTAATGTCCTCTGTCAACAGAAACAAACTCAAAGTTCTCATTAACAAATTAATAAATTTTAAAATATGTTTTGTAAGTGTAAAACGATATTTTGTATAGTTTATATTTATTTTTATATGTGTTATAATAATTTATTTAAAAATATTTTTTGAAATGTAAGCCGATTTAATTTTCTTTAATTTGTAGTAATTATTAAGTTAAGTATTAAATAAAGTCATTAAAATTATTAAGTACAATAAAAACGTCGTTAATTATAAAATTATATACCTATACCTATAATTCTGATGACTTAAAAGTAAAAAAGGTGGGCAAGTGGGTGTCGCTCTGCTCTACAGTAGGTTACAAGTGGGTCACTGTATAATGGATGGTATTAAATTTGAATTCAATGATATAATATCATTGTATAAGAAAAACGATTCTGAGCGGTGACGGTATGTCAGTCTATGTATAAGACATATTATATACATATCTATGGTATTAAACAAAAAATTGACCTATAATAGGTACCTATAATAAATTACAAACTAATCATATCACAATATCCATTAGATACTTATAACGCGTTATACATCAACAAAAACCGTGATACTATCATAGATATATATTAGTACACTTTAGAAGTTTCAAGTACCCACGAATAATATTATTCAATCAAAACAAAATAACTAAAATCGTAATTCTTGGTTTAAATATGAAATTTTGTCTAAATTTGAAATTAAAATGTCTGTAAAAAATAAGTGTGTTAATATATTTTTTAGATTTTTTGGTTACAGTATGAATTATTTAAGAGAATATTTGTTTTAAATTTTCAACTCTTAGTTATAAAAACTGAACCGCTCCTTGTAAATAATTTATTATCTTATCAACAACAAACAAATAAACAATATCGTCAATAATCGTCCTATTTTTATATTTTAGACTTTAATGTATGACATAAACTAGGCTTTAGGATTTTCGAGAAAAATATAAAATGTATTAACTGTTCTGAAATTTGTACATAATAATGTTGAATATTATAAAAGATCTAGGAATTTTAACCAAAAAAAAATGTTTAAATCGGTTGTATTATGAATGAATGAAAGTATCTTATATCTGTATAAAAACAACAGAGCTATAACTTATTACCAATTGGAAACCTTAAAATGTGACAAATGACAATATTACGATACCTACCTAATAATTATACGATTTTTTAAAAATATCAGTAGCATTCATTCATTCAAAATTTAACCGATTTTAAAAATATTTTTATAGGTATAGGTATTTTTATTATAGGTATGAATTATTTAAGAGAATCTTTGTTTTAAATTTTCAACTCTTAGTTATAAAAACTGAACATTTTATAATTTTTTAATTCCAACGATTGATAATTTTCAAGATTTTGATAAATTTTGTCAAAATTCCAACTTTAAATGCTTATAAAAAAAAATCACGCCTATGTATTTTTAATATTTTTCAACTGCTATTGTAATAATATATCAGGAGCCTTGTATTAAATTTTTACACTTTTTGGCTAAACATATACACCTTTATTGATATTTATAGAAAAAAAAACTAAAAAAAATTGAAAGCTGTAAATGTCCATAAACAGCTCAAAAAGAGTCAAAATATTTTCAAAATTGTATGGTGTATAGAAAATGCTAATTTAAACATTCAGTGAAATTTTCATGTATCTACAGTTGTTCGTTTTTGAATTGCAACAAAATAAGGAAATCGCTACATGAGTAATCGAGTGAAAATCCAATGTTGTAAAAATTTGAATTTCAAACGCTCATAAAAATTTAATTTGACCGTCCGGTAGAGATTTTTTTATTGATAAAGGTAGATAATCTTATAAGGAATCTTGTGTTTCATTTTCAAATCTTAGATTTAAATAGAAAAATTTTTACGAATTCTTAACTCAAAATAATTTGCTAATTTTCGTGATTTTTCCATATTTTGTCAATTTTTGAACTTTAAATGCTTATAAAAAAAAATTGTGACTAAGGATTTTTAATATTTTTCATCTGCCTTTGAAACAACATATTAGGAACCTTCTATTAAATTTTCAAGCTTTCGCAACCAATAAATAAAATTTTATTGATATTTTTAGAAAAAAAACTAAAAAAAAATGGAAAATGAAAATGTCCCTAAACAGTTCAAAATAAATCAAAATATTTTGAAAATGTTATCGTGTATAGAAAATGCAAATATAAACAACCAGTGAAAATGTCATGTATATACGTTCATTTGTTTTAGAGTTACACCAATAACCAAAATCGATTTTTTGGAAAACCAATTTTGCGTAAAAATTCCCGTTTTTCCTTAATTTTTATGTTGTTTTTTCCCGGCGCTTGTGAAAACTACTGGGAAATTTATACTTTTGACCCCCCAAAGTACCAACTAGATTCACTTTCCTACCAAAAAAGCTACTGATGAAGAAAATCCAAGCATTTTTACTGTCCTAAAACGTGATGACAGACACAAAAATATAAATAAAAATATAAAAAAAAAACATACATCATTGTAAAACCAATACATTCATCGCTCCGCTCAGAATCTAAAAAATTTTTATGGCCCGCGGTCAAAAATTTTTTTTTTTTATGGCCCGAGTTAAAAAAAGGTTGGCCACCACTGCCCTAGATAGTGAAATAAGCTAAACATTTCCGGTTAGGGTAGCGAAAATTATTATTATTTTTCTCAACCTACAATCTAATTGATGATTATTAAAATAAAAATTATGATAATATTTGTTTATTATTTATATTATGATAATGATTAGTGCATTAGTGAAGTGTTTGTCCTGGGTCCTGTCCAGTGACCAAATGTCAAATTAGTACAAACTACAAACACTAGTTTTCAATGAGAACATTTTTAAAAATGTATCGAAAAAGTAGCGCTCTACATTTAGACAATAGCATTAGAAGCAGCGCGCTACATTTAAAAAAAAGTAGCGATAACGGTAGAGAGCTACCTACTTATTTTGGGGAGTAGCTCTAGCGTCAGCGTGCTACAAAAAACTAGTAGCATCCCGACCACTGCTAGTCGCTAACTACGACATGCACCGCTCCTTGTAAATAATTTATTATCTTATCAACAACAAACAAATAAACAATATCGTCAATAATCGTCCTATTTTTATATTTTAGACTTTAATGTATGACATAAACTAGGGTTTAGGATTTTCGAGAAAAATATAAAATGTATTAACTGTTCTGAAATTTGTACATAATAATGTTGAATATTATAAAAGATCTAGGAATTTTAACCAAAAAAAAAAATGTTTAAATCGGTTGTATTATGAATGAATGAAAGTATCTTATATTTGTATAAAAACAACAGAGCTATAACTTATTACCAATTGGAAACCTTAAAATGTGACAAATGACAATATTACGATACCTACCTAATAATTATAAGATTTTTTAAAAATATCAGTAGCATTCATTCATTCAAAATTTAACCGATTTTAAAAATATTTTTATGTCCATTAAATATTGTTATAAATAGATAACTCTACAAAATGACTATTTTAGAATGTTGCAAACAAAAAAATTGTTAAGAGTTTATTAATATTATAGTAAAAGAGAAGCTATTGGTTGTACAATACATTAAAAACAGCTACACTATAATATCTGTATTATAATATGTAGGTAGGTATATCGAATTAGAGCTCCTGACTTTCCAATTAACCAACATACTGCTTAGGTAGGTAGCAATATTATTATATTTAGTTTAATTTTGTGTCTATTTAATCTTCAAAAAGTTTATTTATTTTACCAAAACAATTAATTTTTGATAAAGGTAGATAATCTTATAAGGAATCTTGTATCACATTTTAAAATCTTAGATTTAAAAAAAAAAATTTTTATGAATTCTTAACCAAAAATAATTTAATAATTTTCGTGATTTTTCCATATTTTGTCAATTATAAAAAAAAACTGTGACCAAGGATTTTTATTATTTTTCAAATGCCGTTGTAACAATATAGTAGGAGCCTTGCATTAAATTTTCAAGTATTTTTACTGGACAAATAATGTTTTATTGATATTCATAGAAAAAAAAAACTTATCAAATTGGAAACTGAAAATGTCCCTAAGCAGTTCAAAACAATTTAAAATATTTTGAAAATTTTATCATGTATAGAAAATGCAAATATAAACGACCAGTGAAAATGTCATGTATATACGTTTATTTGTTTTAGAGTTACTCCAAAATCATCCAAAACTGATTTTGCGTAAAAATTCTCCTTTTTTCTTAATTTTTCTTTTGTTTTTAGGGGTGCTTTTGAAAATAACTGAGAATTTTAAATTTTGACCTCCCCAATACACCAACAATATTCACTTTCCCATTGAACAAAATACTGAAGTTTAACATCGAAGCATTATTTGAACTACTTATCGTGTAAACAGACACACAAAAAAAAAACACACATCGTTGAAAAATCAATCCATTCATCGTTCCACTCAGAATCTAAAACATGTCTTATTCGATTAAAACCGTTTTTTTAATTTAAAAAAAATAGTTTTTATCAAATCTGGTTTAAAAATCAGTCAACGTATAGTAGGTATAAATTTTATAAGCCAGATAGATAAATAATTAATTTTAATAGAACTACTTAAGTGAGAAAGAGGACATTCACTACAATCGCCATACATTAAACCTTAAAGTATTATAAAAATACGTTGTTATAATTGTAGGTACTGTTTATTTTTGATAAGTTAAACGTTCATAATTTATATTTTAATAAATCCAGCACCATGGTCGTGAAGCGAGATAAGTAAAAAAAAAATAAATGTACGACCGTGTGTGTATATTATATCAAAGCTGGAGTTTAAACTGTATAAAATACGGGTTAGTTTGTTCAGCGACATAATTAATTTTCTAATGCATCAATTAACTCCTGGTAAACTCCAAAACATCAAAAATATTGTGTAGAATCTGCTTTTGTAAAAATTATAAAAATCATACTTTTAGAAATTAAGTTATAAATGAAAAAGTGTGAAATTTTTAATGGAAATTTATATTTAATTCAGAATCAAGGTAGGTAACCGTTGTCGTCGTCGTCTTAGCAACAGAGTTGCCAATGTTTGTTTTCTAGTCATCTGGGAAAAAATGAAAAAGTTACAGTACTATGAACAATATTACCGTTCTTATACCTAGATCATTGTTTAAATACTCAATATTTACTCAGTATTTACACAAACAATATTGTTGTCCGATCTTAATAATAATAATGTATTTACTTGGCGAGGAATTGTTTAAAATAGTATATAAATATTAATAATAATATTTTTTAAATGATGATAAATGATATTTTAATAGTCCTTCGCCATTTAATTATTTTGTTCATCAAACTTTTTTTCTTTTAAGCAATAATTCCTCGCCAAGTAAATAAACTATTGAAATACAATAAGTTCACTTAAATTCAATATAGGTACTTAGCATTTATTCATGATATCACATTTTTATAGTGCTTAAAGATCTTATATTTTTTTTTACTTAATCATTTTTACAAGTAGTTTACGAAGGGATTTTGTTGAGATACATATATTTGTATATAATAATGTATCTATAGACTATAATATAGTTTAAATTATAAATCATACCATATAAATCAATCGAATTTTTATTAAAAATATTTTACAGTATATAATATTATGTAACAGTCAATATCGGATGACTAGGTACTCGTCACCACCAGATTGTTACGAACGAGACCAAATTACATTACAGAAGGTCATGATGATAGAAGAAATGCTGCAACTAAGGCCGTATTTCAACGTGGTTACGCGTGTCATATAATATTATATTGTAATGTTGATGATTAAGTCAATGGAATGCGTAGCGATAGGTTTTTGGACCAATGAATGCAAAACAATTTAAGGTCAGTCACTCTCCACTCCCCCTCAAAAACTTCACCTACGTCCAATATAAGAATATTTTCGTAACACACGGCAATATTCGAATTAATAATTTCAAGCTTTTATCAAATATTATGATATTGTGATGGCGACGGCGTTATAGTCATTATATCTATCCATAAGCGTAAAATGGGAGAGGGCTGAGGGCGACAACCCCCCACCTCCCACCCACCCCACCGTACATTTTTTAGGTACATTTAGAAGCTAGAATATATTTCGTTCACCAGGGTAATTTATAGCTGGGATTATGGGATTATGGGATAATTTAGTCATAGGTATTTGTACTGTACACCGGAAAAAAAGCCAATTTACCAACTCTCCAATATTTACAATTTAAAATTAAACTTTTGGTGCAAGCCTGACGAAAAAAAAATAATTCTAGTCTTATTACGTCGACCGCACACTTATCGTCTATACATCGCATCTACTTAGTTATTCTCACGCATGAATCTCCAGCAGTGAAGGTTAAATTTAATAATAATCAAAGTTGTTATTCAAATTTTTAGATATATGTATATTAATACTCATATTATTGGCAGAACGATGGTAGCGTCTAAAAAATTATAAAGACGACCCATTTGAACGTTTTAAAAGAGACGTCAAATCATACTTTAATACATATAAGTACATAACACATAATTTTTGATAATTATTTTTATTTTTATAAATGATTATATTTCATATATACATATATTATGGTATGTTAGGATAAATTCTTTATGAAAGTGCGTTTATTTTTCTATACCGGTTTTGAACATTTGATTACATGACCAAAAATGCGACTCTGCCACAGTTCTTCAATGCAACGATATTAATATTATTAATAGTGTTGGGCAACGATATAGTTTTCTGTATCGATATCGTTCAGATTTTTCCGGTATTGTATCTCGATACGTTATTTCTACGATATCGATATCGTATCATAAATATAATTTTATGTTTACCTAAAAAATTTAAAAAAAACTTTTCGTATTATTAAATTTATTATTATTATACATACTTATAAGTTATTACTTATTACTTAGTTATTTTTATTTATAATAAATTTGTAATACATTTTGTTACATTTGTTTTACATTTTTATATTTTATGTTAACCCTTTTGTGATAACTGTGATAGCTGTATCCTAGAAAAATTGTACAATAATTGACATTTAACCGGAACACGTGAACCAAACGTTATCAGATAATGGATATTATTATTTATTAATTTATTATAGCTATATGCAAATGTCAAATAGTAAATACCATGTATTTTTCTTGAAAAATATTATTTTCGATATCACAATATATCATACAATACAAAACGATATCGATGTCGGAAATTTGTCACGATATCGATATCGTATCGAATTATCGATATCGTTGCCCATCACTAATTATTACGGCACAACGTTAGCGTCGCTCAATTACCGGGAATCGGAGGGGGCGTCGTCGTAGTGGTATTCAAAGAAATAATAAATTAGGTCATAGCCATTTTTCTCCAAAAACGAAGGGGAAAGAAAGTGGTGGACTTATGGACTTAACACTCTCAAACTTTATCATAATTATTGTTTCAATACATAGAACACAATTTCCCGTGTTGGTATACTGTTTGAGCCATGCGAGCTCGGCGCGTCGGTAGCCTCTATCGAGGTACTAGTCAGTGGGGTCGCCACCTAATGGGTCTTACTAGCAGACGGGCGACGGGCCGGCAACGTTGGATTCCGCTGCCCCGTCGTTCGGCGCATCACCGCCGTTTGTCGGGAAGTGGTTGCGGGTCGCGGCAAGTGCTATCTCGGTACGTACCTCGCTTAGAGGCTTCCCCGTTCCGCCTGGTTCCGTCTTTGTTCGGACGATTTCACCTGGCGCAACACACACACACACTCGCACACCAACGCACGCACACACAAGCAAACTCACGAACACGCCAACGGGCGCCTGGTATTAGGTCGTTGTGTTGGCGAGCTCCGCGACCCGCTGCCCGTCCACCGAACCACAGCGCCAACGAGCTGGCAAACGAGCTGGCATATTCGCCTTCGTCACTCGTCCGTCGACATTGCCGCCCGTAGCTCTCACATCGTTCTACGGTTTCCCGTTGTTCTCGAATTGGCCACCGACAGCACTGCGCAAACCCGTTCCGTGTAGTTCATCGAATAATTATTAACATAATATTGTAATTTAATATTTATACAGTTGTCGCCGTAGTCGGTTTTTCGCCAGTTTTTTCCTACTTTTTTCTAAAGGCCATTACCGAGGCTTTATATTATTTTTGTCAAATAACTGAATTTATCGCCCCCTCGCTTCCCACGACTCAACGATCACTTCAAAAATGGCTTCTACAAGAAACCGCGTTTCAGCAAACAAAGGTAACGATATTAAATCTATGATTATAACAATATAACGTAACGTTATTTGGTTTTAATTTTTTTTTATTATATTAGACAAGATTGTAGGCTATACCGTAGTGGTGGGAATTATCGTTGTTTTGTGGAATCGTTCCAATCGGTACAGTTACAATAAAGTACCTACCAATTCCAAAATACTCTTTACATCGGTACAATCAGCACATTCTTTATTTAGTTACACTTGTACTCACATATTTTGTATTGTTAAGCACGGAACGATCAAAATACATATTATATTCAAATGTGTACTTGTTCTTCCAATGGATATTTATGAACGAATATACTTCGTAGTTCGTAGGCCCATTATACAACACTGTTTTACTGTATAATATATTATACAATATACATGTATAATTAATATACACTTAAAATGACTAATCAAAAATTACCACCATTTTTAATACTATTCCAATTGGTGCAATTACAATAAACTACCTATTCGAAAAAAACATATTCAATAAAGCAATATGAATATTTATTTTCAGCAGAAATAATTATAAAAATATAAACATAAAAAAATCACTTCACTTTAACTTCGAAAAAAAAAAATACTAATAAAAAAACTAAACTGGAACTTCCAAAATTGACTTAGGTACTTGCCTAAGCCTAAAATATTTATATGGTAAAAATTAAAAATTAAATAATAGCATTTAATAATAAATTACCGTTCAAAAATATCAACATAATATTATATTAATATTTTTATATTATTTTAATCATACAAAATATTATATTATAATAACATTCTATAATCGTGACAACTCGTTACTATTCGACCACTGTCGGTAATAAGTATTCGATACAGAGTCGATGTCGGCAGGGGTACGAAACTCCGTGCGTTTACCGAACCAGGCGATTGTGGCCTTGAAGACGGTCTTCAGGAGGGCGTGGCATACGTGAAAACCCCGCGTCCCGTATCCCGCCTTAGTGCCGACCCCGCGTCCCGTATCCCACCTTAGTCTTGGAACCAATTTTATAATATACGGGTCTAATATCATGTTGGTGCGGGAACCAATTCCATGTTTTTCGTAGGTTCAGACTTCAGATCATAGGGAACCAATACTCCAATCAGCTGATCGAGTTTCGCTTCTATACTGTTCTATGATGTCGGTATACCCTGATGGGGACCATTTTGTAGTTTGTAACTTTGTACTGAATGTACCGAATGAACGAACGTGGAACGATAAATGTACTCGTTCCACCAATGTAATCATTACATTGTACCGAAAACAGCAGTAACGACCCACCACTACTATACCGTCCTTGGTTTAGTTATCTTGATTAATATTGATTATTATAATTTATTATTTATTCGATATTGTTATTATTATTATCATTATTAGCATGTGTTGATGCCTAATACCATAAATATACGAAATAAATAATAAATAACTATAAATATTTCAATAAACCGCGCTCTAGTTATAACTTATATAATCTCAAAACAAATAGTTAAAATATAAATATTAAATATGTAGGTATAGTCTGTTATCAATTTTTAATGATTAACTAAAATATAAGATACATACCTAACGGCTTTTTTTTTGATTTGTCTAGTGAAAGCAACTTGAGACAAAGTAGTCCATAAGACTAAACTAATATTCTTTTGATTATAAAATTTTTTTTTAACTTCATCACAGCTTTATTGCACTCATAAAGTAAATAATACAGTTTTTAGCATCCTATCATAGTTTATATCTATATTATAAATTATCAGTATTCTATGTACATGTTATTATAAATCATAATACTGGAATATTTAATATTTACTCCTATTGATAAATGATCACTATGATTACGAGATCTAATAATATTATACATGTACATGTATAAGAATTTTGGTCACTTTATAACATAAATTCATTATGATAATTTCTAAATAATATTTGGACATGATATTATTTATTGGTTTTTAGTAGGCATGGATTTCAGCAAAAGTATATTATAAAAAAAAAAAGAAAAAATGTTCTTGTAATTTTAATTATTCAAAATGTTAACATTTAAAGTCCATAAAATATTTTTTTTTATTCTTCATAATACCTACCTATAATTCAATTACCTATATTAAAACATAATTTTAAAACTAAATTACAGGGATGAGTGTAAAAAATGAACACGATGATGCTGAAATAAATGCTATGGCTCTCAAAATGAAAGAAAATTATCAAAAAACTGCAACAGCTGCAGCAAAGCAACAACTTGCTTCTCCGGCAAATGTTAATATAAACAGAGCCGCTAGAGCAGTAACATTGGTTAATGCACCAATTACAACGGATAACAGTCAAACAAATCAAGACAAATTACCCAAAGATTGTGAAGATGTAGAAAGTATTAAAGGTAAGCAATCAGGGGTTAAATTCTTGTTTTGAAACTTTCCACGAAAACACTATATTTTATGTTTTTTTTATGCAATATAGGTAGATTTTCATGGAAATTAATTGCTGGACACTATGTACCCTACATTATTAGAGTGATCAATGGTGAACAGTTAAAGTTTGTATCTGTACGTATGGCAGAAACACAGCTACTCAAAAACTATTTACATTATTTACATGCTGATATTTATACATGCACAAATGTAAGAAGCCTTTTTGTCACTGAATCTGAAGCTAAAGTATTAAATGATATCAACAAAAAACATACCGACTGTATGTACGGGAAAGAAGTGTTTCTTGCAGGAAAAGATTATATTGTGAGTTTGGAAGATGTTCTTGAATTTTATACGTTCATGGAAGTATGTTATAAAAAATTACTGTGCGAAATTACTCCAGGCCTCGTTGAGAAATGTGGTTATATTCGCATCAACTCTGATTCGTTCGTGCCATATATTATCATAGATAACCAAAAATATGTCCCACTTTTCTGCTTTGAAGGCGAAACCGAAAACCTAAGACAACAAACTTTAAAATCAGAAAATTGGAACTTAGCCTATCTGAAGTTCTGTTGTAAGGTTCAAGGTATCATAAATGAGTTGAATGCCAGTGACTCATGCAAAGTGACCAGTCTTGAGGGTATTAAAAATAATTTTCCACCAGAAACTAATTTTGAGGATTATTGGCCAGCTAATTTGGTTGATATACATCTCTTAAATAATCAAAAGTCTACCCATGTAAATCCACCGGGTGTCTGGATCAGAGCCCCTACTGGAGTAATACCTGCTGAAAATACTATTGCTCACACTTTAAAGGCATCAGCACCATTACCACCGAGTATGCCAGCTATGGTGAACACATATAAAAACGGAAGGCCTGCAAACCAAATTGTATGAATTATGTTATATATTATATAAATGTATATTATATTAAAATGCTTTTTATTTTTTGTTCTTTAAATAAATTGTTGCTTGTGTTTTCACAATGTATTCAAATGTAATATTTGTTTTATGCTTATAATTATTTTTAGTATTAACTATTAAATATTAATAAATAATTATCTATAAACAAAAAGGTCTATCAATCAATAGTTATATATTTTGTAACTAACAAAATTATATAAATATGGGAAATATGGTTTAAAGGCTTTCTAGTTTTTACTTGAAATTTTGCTTTCATTTAATTATTATAATGGTATGAATTTTATTATTATGGCTTTTTTTTATTTTTTGTTCTTCAAAATAAATTGTGTTTTCACAATGTATTCAAATGTATCATTTATTTTATGCTTATAATTATCATTATCAATTATGAATATCATAATCATTTGTTTTATTTAATTATACTTCACAGTGGTGTGACATAGGTGTCGTGCATGCTTTTCAATAAACAATTTTTTCTCTACTAAGTCTGTATTCTCAATAAATAAATAATATTTTTGCAGGTTTATTCATCTAGCACTCATGCCCAGTCACCATCAACTAGTGGCTATTCTATTACATCCAGAAATCAAAGCATAGCTGCCCAGTGCTATAATGCGGTACTTATTTTTCAACTTTCTTAATTTTTTTCTCCGCTTATTCCTAACCCTTATATAAAAATACTCAACAAATTATACGTAGTTCAAAGCTCACGCTCTAAACTATTTTGTATTTTATAATTTTTTCTCCATTAAAGAAATAACATTCTTATATTTTTATTTGACACAAATAATTTTTAGAAACTAATGGATTAATTATTGTCATTCCTCAGTTGGTAATGCAAGGAATTAAAGTTTTTTTTTTTCACGTTTTTGTTGACTAAAAGTATTGTTCATATTATATTAATAAATAATAATTATAAAATAAAGTATATAGCTTTTCTTTTCTTTTAAATTGTTTTAAAATGACGAGTCCAGCTGTTAATATGTTGGATCATTTTATAATTTAATATATTTTGATACTTTATTAAAGTTAATTTATAATTTACTAAAAGTATTGACTACAAGTTTTGCATGTGTGATATAAAATTAATTGTTTGAATTCAATGGTGGGTATTAATATTACATTGTGGGCTATGTAATATATATTAGTAAATTAACAATTTTTAATATTTAGTTTTTATTGGATTTTCAGGGTTCAACGATGTCTCTCAGCAGTTTGGTAAACAGTGTGGGTCATGTTGTACCACCACCACCTTTAGTCAGTGCAGGCAATACGACACCAATAAGTGGGTAAGTGTTATCAAAATAATACCAATAATCAAATTTGTAAATATCTAAAAACAGAAAAAAAAATATTTTATGCTTATAGTTAGGGCAGAGAAGTTATAGGAGGTAAAATTGGAAAAATATGCACATAAAAAATTGAAAATATGCATTCAAATTCATTAAATATGCAAGATAATATGCACAAAAAAATTAAATTATAATTTAGTAAAATAAAAAAAATTAGATATAAAAGAAATATAAAAATCATTGCATTGCACAATTAATTTTATTTTAAAAAAACTTTGCAAATCTTACAATAAATCATAGGTAGTACCATCGGTAGCAAATGTATCTTCGCCAAACTGTTTCACATACTTGTTACTTGTTAAATATATTTGCATTTATTTTTGGCATTGTGCAAAATGTGAGTAGAAAATATATTTAAAAAAAAATGTAAGCATGGAAAACACAACAAATGGCACGCAGTTTCGTATCGAACGACACTTAACACCATACTAACAGGATTACTGACGGACAGTGGCCTCTGGACTTATAATAATGTTCATATAAAATTTAATATAGATACTTAAATGAAAATCAGTCAAATCTTATCTTTGATAACATTATCCGAATGCCCACCTAAAATATGTGGGTACCTATAATATAGTACATAGTCTACACGGGCATCGGGTGGTGTACAATATATATATACTATACAGTATATAATAATACCATACAGTTTTTATGTAGAATATGCATGAAGTATGCACGAAATAACGAAGTATGCAATTTTTTTTTTAAATCTTAAAAATATGCAAAAATATGCAAACAAAAATTTTAGATTTCAACTGTGGGGCCTATGACTTATATTTATGTCTTGGTTTGCTATAAAATAGAGGCCCAGAAGAAAACATGCAAATCCTATAACTTTTCTGCCATACTTATTGTAATACCGTATCATACTCTAACGCTGTGCCTATTAGCCAATGTATATCAACTATGTACAATCCAATGACAAATGGTAATGTTATGTTTCATTCCAGTCAAATGACACTACTCTACATTCAAAGTTCTAACAATAGTCAAGATCAACAACAACAATTGCAACAACAACAAATAATTACTAGTCGTCAAACTCAGCAGTCAAATAGTGGCAAATCTGTGAATGCTCATTTAACCAACACACAACAACGCAGCACATTAAGGAATGGTGGGCCTGTTGCAATTGCTCCACCCATAGAAATCATTGACTTATTGTCCCCACCGTCCAGCCCTGTTCCTCTAGCTGCGCAGGAGAATTCTCGTCGTCCTAATATTTCATATGAATTTACGAGAATACCAGAACGGATGTTGGCACATGACACAGCTAATAATTCTGCATACAAGGTTAATGATATTTAATATTTTAAGATTGACTACATTTATTGGGGCCTAGAATAAAATTATTATTATTTTTCATACCTCCATTAGATATAAAATCTTGATACCTCTATACCTTTTTTTTTTAAACAAATATATATTTATTTACAAAAATAGCATGAGCATCAATTCAGCCAATTTTGTACAACATAGATAAGTTTATAATGTTCATTAATAAACATAAAATAGGTACTATGTGTTAATCTTTAAATTAATAATATTTAAATATTATTGACTGTTTTACACAAATATTTTTTTTTTTAAATATAATTTTCCATATTAATAGATATTAGTTTATTTAGGATGATTATTTAAATTTGTGTAGTTTTTATGTAAACTAAATGTGTGTGCAGTATTTAAAATTGGTAAAAAAGTTATATTTTCTTTAACTTAATATTTGTGGAATATTTTTTAACTTCTTACAATTGTTTCAACATTTATTATTTGATCAATTGCGATATAGCAATAAGTAACAGGCCTGTATGTTGTTAAATTAAATTCAGAGTATAGTATTAACACAACAAATTACTATTTCGATTTATTTGCTATACTGGGTGATTATTTTATCAAACAACACTCATTATTTCAAAAAGTGTAAATTTGTTTGAAAATATTTTTTTACATAGTTTCAAGTCGCTTATAAAACAACGTTTTTATAAAAAAAATTATATTTTTAAATATTTTTTATCCTTATAATTTTTTTATGTTTTTTACTTTTTTAAATGACAACATAGGGTTTTAATTTTATATTCTAAAGTAGAATATTTTTCTTAGTATTTTGATACATTAAAAACGAATTTGAGGCCAGTAGTTTACGAGTTATAAGTATTTAAAGTTTAGACGAGCGGAGTGGAGTGGTTTGGGGTTACCCCGCGAAATGTTTGTCCACTTCACCGCTCATCAAACTTTGAAAATTTATAACTCATAAACTACTCAACCCAAATTCGATTTTCATGTATCAAAATACTAAGAAAAATATTCTGCTTTGGAATATAAAATTAAAACCCTATGTTGTTCTTCAAAAAAGTAAAAAACTTAAAAAATTATAAGGATAAAAATATTTAAAATAATAATTTTTTAATAAAAACGTTGTTTTATAAGCGACTTGAAATTATGTAAAAAAATGTTTCAAAAAAATTTACACTTTTTGAAATAATGAGTGTTGTTTGATAAAAGAATCACCCAGTATAGAATACCGAAAATTTGTTTTTAAATGTATTATAATACATTCCATACAATTCATATATGTATATATTTAACACAGATCCAAAGGGCAACACTTGAAGGGAGAGTGATCAATTGCATAAACGCAAAACCATACATCTATTCGGATCTGATGGTGACATTAAAAGATTTAGTCAGGATGATGTTGCCTTCGTGCTCAGTCGAGAGATGCGCTTACACCTTAAACAAATACTTGAAAACGACAATATTCACTGGAAATTCGTAAGTGTCTGTTACTCCTTTTAATAATCATTATCCCTCTTACTACTCATCCAACAGTGTTCGGAAGAGGTTAATAAATTGCACCCGTCGTTTATTTGACAGCGAGCAGCTGGCCTTGTTGAGGAAAAATGGACTCCTCGGGTCGAAGTACCCGGCTGAAACACCCATGGCCATGCTACGAGATGTCACGCATGCTTTGCCGCAATTAATGAAAATTGTGTCAAAGCACGACGAACAAATAAAACAACGCCGAGCTGGTGCTGCAGGTGGTCCGGCCAAAATACAACGCACCAGCTAGGAATGGGCCGGGCACGATGGAAGTCGACCCGACTGGCAAAAGCTGGTGGCGGGCAGCAACAGCAATAGTAACAGCAGCAGCAATAACTTTGGTGCCACTTCCACCCCCGCAGCCACCGTCGGTTGGTACTCGCCGACCGCGCCGACAGCAACGATTGGCTTAACGCCGGTGCTGGTCCGTCCCAATCGCCGCATCCGCATCACTCACTACACCCGCTGATGCAAAATAGCTATCTGCAACTGCCATCCGCCCCCGCCCTACATGTAAGAACTACTAACTCCACTAAGCAGCATAGGTAATAACTAATCTGTGTGTCTATGGAATGTGCAAGGGTCGTCGTTCCCCATCATCTCTTATCGTTTTTTGTACAAGTTTTCTTTCGTTATTATCTATAATACATTTCAGCGTATTATTATTATTTATTATTAACTGAATTCCTAGCCAGCTAAGATTATGTTTTGACTAGATCGACGAAGAGATACTGATTCTAAATACCATGAATATATTAATATATTATACTATGCTTAGGTGTCTTGTTCCTATAAATAGTATGTGCACATAGTACATATATATGTACAAACAACAATTATATTTATCCACACGATTCCGTGTCCTGTATATATTATAATTTACTATAACAGTAATATTATATATTTTAAATGTTACGATCATTTGGGATCTTTATCATTTTCCATTATTTCATATATCTTTGCATTTATTCGAAGTATTAACATGAATATTAGTTTTAAAGGATATTATACTGAAAAGTGAACACTTGTAAAATAGTTTATTGATGTATTATGATATATTATTTATATTTAACTTTTGTATTGACCAATAAAAAATTGGAACTTATATTATTTTAATTAATGTCGTTTTATTTTGTATCAAAAAAAAAAGGAGAAATCTCCTCCTGTCTTATTACAGTTCGTGTACCTATACGGTAACAGTATACCTGTATACCTAACCTAACATAATATAATAACAACATAATAAAAAAAAAAACATAAGATATTATTATATCATAAAATTGGGCATAAAATTAATTCCGGAACACATTATTCTATCTAACGCGAATAAAATATGCTCAAAACCGTGTGTGTCATTTGCAGTACAAAATCACGATAACAATTGTATAAAATATAAATAGTTAAAGTATATAGGTAATAAATTCAAACTATAGTTTATATAGGTTGGGGTCAAGCTTCAATGGACGTTAAATGTAACGTCTGTCGTGTATCAGACGTGTGTGACGTCAAAGTGACAGTCAATTTGACGGACTTTAAGTGTGTGACTGTCGACTATAATAATTAGTAAACCAGGAAATTCGGTTGTCAGTTAAAATAGCGAAAAGTAAATGATTATACTCTATATAATATTATTATTAAACTTGCAGCACATCATCTATAATATATATGAATGGCAAATATCACTCGTTCACTAACTGATCGATACAACTCAAAAACTACAAAACGTACACATTTAGAATAGTGGTTCCTCTAATGATCTAGATTACACATCAGATTTTCCTTCAAGAATTTTCCAATATTCGAATTTTAAGGAGATAGTCAGACAGGGAACTTGAGATTAACAGTGGAAATTATTTTTTTTTTTGTATATAAATGGTTGCCATTGGTTACTCAGTCAGATCAGGTACAAGCATGTATCAAATCGTCGTGTTAACATGGCCTTGATTAAAGAAACTTTATCTTAAAACCAAAATGTAGGTATGTGTTTAGCTTATATCCTCAGTTAAGACGAATGTTGAACTCGTATAAATAAAAAAGTGGACAAGTGGGTACAGCTTCACTGACTTCATCAATTTAAAAATTGTAATTATGTAGGTACCTACCTACTTGATAATTAATTAATTACCTATATCGAATATGCAAAATTAAATTTCATATATTTAATTGTGATGACATGAAATATATTTTAGATTACCTAATATTGTCAGCATTGAATACGGCATAGTAACATTGATGTGCAAATTATAGGTACTATAAATATTTAATATATAAAATAAAAAGAAATACCAAATTGCAAGTACCAAGGTAGGTATTTGAAAATAAGTAGGTAGGTAATAAGTGATCATCTCGAGTGCTGGAGTTCGGAGTGCCTACTTAGGTACCTATTTACAGTAATGGAAAAGTTGTTTCTAAAAATGAATTAGTTCAAGACATTAAAATATATGAACTAGTTCAAATTATATTTCATGGTTTTTAGAATGAACTAGTTCAAGTTCTAGTTCATCTAGAATTTGAACTAGTTCAAATTTTAGTTCAGTAGTTCATAGTTTTTAAAATGATCAAAAATTATAAAAAGTTACTACAGAAAATAAAAAAAAAAATTCTAAAGTTAGAAATAAAAAAAAAATACGTGACTGCCGGCGATGAGTCGAAACCGGTGATACGCGGCTCTGCAACATACTTTATCCTATGTAACTAATTAGTAATTGAAAATAATAATTATAGATTAGTGGTTAAAATAATTTTGATTAATTAACGAAAACAATATCATAGTTAAAATTAATTTTGATTGCGTAATACAAATAGTTTTATATTTTTCCAATCACCCTGTATTCTGTGGAACACGCTAAGTACAGCATAAAATAATTTGTATGGACGTGTTAGTCTTGGGAATGTTATTTATTATAATTTATATAGTTAGTCTTGGGAATGTTATTTATTATAATTTATATTATATTAATTATTACGCTTTATTGTATTATGTCAAGTTACAACCAAATTATAATAATATGCCATAAACGGTATGGTACCTACTAGGTATCCTTATCGTCGAACGGTTAGACGATCAACGGCGCGGCGAGGCGTTGTGATTTCAGGGAAAAAATAAATATCCAAACTAAAAATAAGCAAAATTAAAAACAAATTATAATACCTTTTTATTCTCGAGAAGGAACCTGATCGGCTACAAAACATTTCAAAACGTTATCCTATCGCCTGTTCTATGAAATTTAAATTGTCAATGAACGAACCCAAAACGTTCAAAATCACAATTAAAAAGAACTTAGTTCACGTTCAAGTTCATTTCTTGAAAATCGAACTCGTTCATGTCAAGTTCACACAATATGAACGCGTTCTTATGAACGCATTCCTACCCGCATCACTGCCTATTTAATTACCTAGTTAAAATTCGATGCGGCGACACTACTACCTACCTACCAAAGTGAAAACTGAAAAGTAATAAGTATTAAGATATGACAAGAGACCGTTATGGAGGTGAAACTATAAGATAATATTTTGGCCCCAAGTTGGCCCATTCGACCTATAGTACATTAGTACCTATACTGTAATACTGTGTAGCTACTAGCTGTTACGTCTTGCAGGCAAGTAGGTATAAAATATTATTTGAACAGCGTATCACACTCGACAAGCGGCTGATTAAGGTAGGTAATAAGTGATCTTATCAAGTGCCTAGCTACCTGTTTAATTAGGTAGACACCTAATTGAGTACCTACATATTATTGTTATATTATACATTTAGTGTATTTAATTCCAGTAAAGTATTTCCAGCATATATTTTCGAATGTTAGGTATTTACCTACATTTATGTTATTTTGTAAGGTATTTTATTACCACTTATAACAATGTCATAAAGGTGTGTACCAAAATGCAGCTAGGTGGGAATTCTTCCGAGCTGAAAATCTAATTTGACTAGACCATCTGAGCTGATACATTGTGTATTCAACCTATAAATGTCAATAAAATGTTATTTTAATCAAAATTATAAAATTATAATATCAATAAACGGTAGTGATAAGTGATAACAGACGTCTAATCAACGCGTTCTGTTTATCTCGCGAACTTTCGCTGAAATCGACTAGGTATCATATTGATGCATTAGTTTGTTGCTCGCGAATCACGATATCCGAAGAAGTCTCGTTCTCTCGTTTCAAACACTGAATAACGGACTCACGCCCTACGACGGACACAAACGAGAGAACTCTTGAAGCCGTCGAGAGCTAGCGTGTCGCCTAGAACGGTGGACTCGAGTACTCGACTACCGACGCTTTGAGTGAGGTAGGTACGTAATGAAAACGAAATATTATAATATTATTGTCGACCCGTAGCGTCCACCAGAGTAAAAAAGAAACTCCTGTCGTGTATGTAGCGGATCGCTGGTCGTTTATTTTCCCCACCAATCAGCCATTCGTGTGAATGTATTTGTAGGTACCTACCTTTTCGCTATCAGTTTTTGACGAACACTTTTGTTTGCTGCAGCCCCCGTTCCGATATACGAATATTAAACACGACAAGGCTGCTGATGAAATGCCGTCTGATTGGGTCCAGTGCATTTGCGTCGTTACCTTTGAACTGGAGTTTGGCCTGGCGGTGGAGGTAACTATTATTGTGACTTCTTGTGCTCATTTTCCTGCTGGCTATCTTGTTATACCAATCCGTGTTTCTGTTGTATTTTTTTTCTTTCACAGTTGGTCTACCCCAATGACAACAAATTATCCGGGGAAGTCAAAACTAACCTCTGTTACCTGGCGTTTCCCAACTCCAATTCCAGATGTATGGGAGTCACTCAATTCCATGTCAAGAAAAAAATGGAATGATGAATTTACATTATTTACATTTACAAAAAAAATTCTATTTGGATAAATGACCAATTAAATATAAGTACGTCTTTGAATACCTTCAATCATGTTTTAATTTTGTTCTGGATTTATTAAACCTGTGCATATTTTTAGTATAAAATATATTAAATTCGTGTTTTTTAGTATAGAAAAGTGTTTTCTAACCTTTTTGTTATTGCGAGCCATAATTTACTCTCTCTGTGTATTCCACCTAAAAAATCTAGTACCTATGTCATAACAAATAGTATTTTAATAGTAAAATTAAAATCTAATGAAAAACCTACGATGTCCACTCGGTAATAATCTTACCTTTTAATTTCATAAGCTGTCAATTCACTCTAATGCGGGTGTACCGTTCTATAAATTCATATAAATTATTAAAGATAGATAGTGATCGAAATGCATTAAGATTAAAAATTACGGCCGTACAATTTTTATTAATGCGGGTTTTTATATATAAGTAATAAGTATATTAGTACTTACTTATAATACTATGTTTTACTTTTTCTTTTTGATAAAAGATAGCAATGCGTAAATATTCCCGATTTTTGTTTTATTATTTTCCCTATAATTTTGATTTTGTTAATTTTCTAATATTTTTCCCCACACCAAACCAACTATATAAAATGTTCAGTAGAAACCATATTAAAAAGTCACTGTATATTATTAAATTATGAATAGGTAATAATAATTTATATTAATATAAAATTTGTATGCATCTATAAGTATTAAGTAGGTACATAAAAATAGTTCTAATATTTCCGTTAAAATAAAAACAAAATAATATTTTGAAACAAACAATGCACGATCAATACAATAATTTACAAGACATATTTAACGACTTGTAAATAAAATAATATCTACCTACATTTATAATTAAGTTTGTATCAAGAGTGAATAATAAAAATGTGTAGTAATTACCTTGTTGTTAAAAATGAACTGTGCTAAACCCATCACTCAAATTTAATAGGTATCGAGATAAATTGAAATTTATCAAAAGTGGGGAATAAAAACCTATGAAGGGGAAAATAGGTATTAATCAATAGTTAAAATAAAGTGCTTCAAAAGAAATTGGGTCTGCGTCGTTGTCCAATCAAGCAAGTCATACATAGGGTAATAAGAGTGTTAGGTCGCCCTAGCATTAACAAGTGAGAATTGTTTTTACAAAAAAAAAAAATAAAATGCTCAAATTAAAATGTATTTTCAGACAAGATTACATTTTTTACATTAAATTATCATCTACTATTCCCCCTCCAAATGTGTTTATATTTTTCCCGCCATTTCTAAGAGTGACTACTATCACGCTAGTACTACGTTCAAGCCGAACATCTACTCGCAGCATCCGAAACGACAGTGATCGTTATCCGTGCGGACGGCATAATTATATTTATATAAATTATTTACGAGTAATAAAACTACCTACTCGTTATAATATAATATTTTATTTGTCTAATCGGGTATCGACGGCAATGTTGATTTTGGGTATCGTAAAAATATGTATGTTGTGTGCGCTTTTTAATTTTATCCCTTGAATGTTCCAGAACTCGTCTGTTTTCGATAGATTTTTTTTTTTGAAGTCAAGAATTCATTCCTTCTGTACCGTCGATTGCAGTATAGTCCCGTCATGAAATCAGCTCCAATGGACACTGACCACGTCCATGGAAAGAAAAGTTACTGTTTTGTATGCACAGCGTATCCAGATAAGTTGCCTTTCATGACCGGTTACTGCTTATTTATACTTCAGTTACAGGTACGTGAAACCCGTGGTTGATAACTCCTGAACTCCAAGTAAGTATCTACAACAAATAACATTATGCAATTTAGTGTAATATGTCTCTGGTTATAAGTGCAGCTAACTGCAAGATAAATGTATAAAACTCATGAGTTTTATTTTTTAACAGTAATGATTAGTAGTGTATGTATTTAGTTTGGTCTGTTGGTAGATAACCGATTCTATTATATTATATTATATTTGTATGGTAGTTACTACATTCGTTGTTAGTTAAGAGGACGTCGCACCCTCATGTGTTGTCTTACACACGTACGACATAGTCCAGCGGTACTCAACCTTTTTAGAATACACTAAAACCTACACAGTTTGAAAATATCCATGAACCCACTATTCGACCAAATAACGTTTTTAGATTCTGGGAGGAGTTCAGTGTTCTTGCACAGACCCTTCAATTCACTTGCCGCCACCTGATTTATTTTTCAAGGTCTGGGTTATAAAGTATATCCCACTGGAGGGTGATAAACATGAACAAGCCACACAGAATAATATATAAAATCATTATTTAATGTGTACAAAATGTGTCGTGAAAAATTTGTTTTTTTCATGATCATTTTGACATTTAGTAAAATATAGATGTTATGATGGGTATATAACAATTGTTATGCTACGTTATGTGGAGGTGTCGAATTTTCACTCAAGTATCACTTGACAATTTCACGGGTGTATGCCAGTGGCATTGAAACCAGAAATTAAATTTTCACTGATGTTGTCCACTATATTTACTCTGTCCATAACTTCCTTAACAAGTGATGGGAATGTCATCAGCCAGCATTATTATTTAAAAATAATTCAACTCTTATACCTACATGGGTACCTGTTAGTTTTTTTTATATAGGTACATTTAGTTGGTAAACTATTTTACTATTCCTTCTAAACCTACATTGTTTAATAATTTATTGTGCAATACTTACGTTATTTGTGTCATTATTTGAAGTTTGATTCATGTTGACACTTGACCTATGCATTACCTACGCCCAGGTTATGTTTACATAATTTCTATGTCAAAGTAAATAAATACCTTACACAGTCTTCTACTGTTTCCACTTTGGAAGGGCAGCAATAAAATGTTCAATATCAACATCAAATAAATCAAGTTCAACTATGCACTGAACATTGCACGGAATGACTATAGCTACCATATGAATAAGCCCCACATAATAATATATAATAACATTATTGTTTATTATTTTAATGTGCACACAAGGTGTCATTAAAATTGTTTTTTTATGATAATGTTGACATTTAGTAAAATATATATATTATTATAGTGTAGTGATCCCTCAATATCGTTTATATTTGAGTTCGACGACGTTGATGTGTTGAATAGTAGAGGTTTTACAGAGTAACAAGTTACACAGTAATAGTTATATGGGATTTATTAAAGTTACAAAAAGTATAATGTTTTACATTGTATATATAAATTTGAGGATATAAGCACCTGCCCGAGAGAGTAGTTATACTAGTACTTACAAGTATGTACATCGTACTGACTCTGTACTAATTCTAATTTGGCTATGGACGGAGACTCGTATATACATATACAAAGTCTCCATTAAACATTAGGTATACGATTGAGACTAGGAGGTGGATCAAAGGAACCGAAGCAGGTGTTGTTGTTGTCATTCCTTCCTTGAGTTTCTAAACTGGATTATTTTTCAATGTATAATCGTCATACATTCAAATTCTCTTAACTATTGAAAGTTGAAATTTGGTCGCAACAACAGGTGTGGCGGCTAGATGTTGTTGACTGCTTAAAACATGTATTTGTAATATATATCTTCGATGTAGTATAATATGCAGTATATTTATTATAATGTTGTAAACGGTTGGTTGTTTTACTACAATATAATATATATATATATATATATATATATATAAATTGTTATGTTACGTTATGCATTCCGTTATGTGCATCAGTTGATAGAATTGTTGAGCTGCAGTTTATATTTTTTTTTTGTAATTTTTACAAACTCATTTTCTAGAAACTTTAAAAACAAACTTCTTCCCTATTATTTTTATAATCTAATTAGGTGTCCAGCCTGGTTAATCTCCTGCAATAGCTGTCCAAAAGGGCGAAGTTGTTTTATTTTCAATTGAAAATCTAAAGTAAAAAAAAAATAATTGATTAACTATCATACCATACCAATTGTTATGTTGCTTGATGCATTACGTTTTGCGGAGATGTCGAATTGCAGTTTCCAAAATCTTTTGTAATTTTTATGAGTTCATGTTCTGGAAACTATATAAACAAACAGGCTTCTTTTTCTTCCTTATTATTTATTATATCCATATATTTGGGGATTTCGTATCGTCTGGTGTTGTTCTGAGATCGATGTGATTAATTTGTATGTTAACCTACTTACTAACATGTTCGTAGCATTTGTAAAAATAGGTACATTACTTTCCGAATGCATGAATCAAAATGGTTCATTATTTTAAACAAAATCTTTTTTATTTGGAAAAATCATAGCTTTTTCATCGAATAAAGATTTTGGTATTTTAGTAAATATTTTTCTTCTAGCTTCATACATAATTTTTCTGAATAACCTGACTTCAGAATGACTAAGATACTCTGACTTTGGGCAATTGCATAGTTCTTGTCGTATAAGTTTATTTGGCTTCACGTTAAAATCGCTTGCTTCGCTCTTTAAAAGAGACATCACTGTTTGTTTAGTGATGGTTTCTTCAACTAATTCATAATGACTATGTTCACCATTTATTGAAATTACTGTTTTTAAATTGGCAGTTAACTTAACAGTGAGAGTGCAATTACGATTCATGCAACGAAAACTTTAGTTGTTTCTTTGTTTTCTCTAAACTCACTAAATTTACAACTATTAATTGCAACACACTTTTTCAAACGTCGGGTTTTACCCGTTATAAGCTGTGAACTTTTAGTATGTTCTTGCTATACAGGCGTTTGCATCCAACTACACTAAATTTTTTTGCCATTATTGGCTATTTAATGTCATAATCCAAGTTGATCTGTTCATAATGCTTCAATTTTTCTCTATTTCACAGTATTTGAGTTGTGGCATGTCCTTGTAACTGGAGTTAACCACACTTCATTCACAATAAAAGCAAATAAGACGAAAAGACTCTCGACTTCTCTGTCTGGTCCGTTGCGAGGTCCTCGAAGAGGTGGCCGCACAATATGCACTCACCGTCAGTGGTCTCGGGATTTCGGCCCAAGTGACCTCGTAGGCCGTCCCAGTTAGAGCAGTTTAAGATGA